TTCGATACCGAGAAAGAATTTTCCGTCATTATCAGCAGCGGATGCTCCTCATGGGTATACATAACTCGCGAATTGAAATTCTTATGAGCGACTGTTGCATAATTTATGAGATATTACGAGACGACGTCGCTTTTTCTCGGAGAGAGACTCAATGCTAACTAACATCGCTGTCAAGTTTACAAAATGGAGCGTCGTATATTTGTCAAATAACGAATGAGCGGATGACTTTTCAAATTAGAGCGCGCACGTCACGGACGCAATTATTGAAATAAAACGGCCAAGATCTCAAATGTATATCCGAAATTACAATATAAAAAAATACAGTCCGCGATTCAGTCTGCGCGTCTATTGTGAATTAATATTCTTCTTCTCCTTCCGCCACGTTTCGCCTCGAATCAATACAACGGCCGATATTTGATTTCCGAGCGCACACGTAAAAAGGATCTGTATCTCAATATCCGGCCGACACAACAGGCGAAAAAGCAAGCAACACTGGACACGACATTCCGAAAGCGTTCGAAAATTCGATTTCCTCCCGTGACCTGCCTACATAAGTAATGGCTGTAATCGCGAGAAACTTCTCAAATTATAAGACCGTTGTACACGGGGTGGATGGCGTCTCGGAGCAACTGGCGGTTAATGCGCAATTTATTAAGATGCATGGCCTCCTTAGCCGATACGGAAACAAGAGATAGCGAAACGAGCAGTCGGGGAAAACTTATCGCCGCCTGTTGCCGAAAATAGCACACTTTTAAATGTATCTCAACGAGAGGATTTATGATATCCCGGCAGATTCGCGAGACTGTCTCACTATAAATTGAAAGTAGATATCAAATAATAAAAAAACACGATTTTTTCCTCCTCCCACCCTTTCTCATTCTTATCGCCAATGCAAATTTTTCGTCCCTGATGATTCGATGTAAATGTAAAACACAAAGTAGATGAATTAACGAGCTGGAATACTTTAAAGGAGATATCCAAATTTTGCAATGACACGGAAAAGCAGTATGGAAAGACCAACGCAGCTAGTTCTTTAGTTTACAAGTCGAAAGCAGAGCGCCTAGTTGAATGATTTATGGATGGAAAAAAATATATCCGTTGGAACTAATTTTGTATGGTAATCGCTTTTATTATAACTACTCTGTTTATCGCAAATATAAATAGTGTGGTCTTCTAGAAAATATAAGTGCGTTTTACGTTCGCACAACATTTCACGGAGATCGTTAAAAAGATGTGGATTAAAACAGACTTATTCTCAGCGGTTGTGTTATTATGTGTTATTGTGCAACATAATGCAACTCATGGGAAAAGGATATTAGCTATAGTGAACCTTCCATCAGCTAGCCATCACATATCCTATCGTGGTCTATTTTTGGAATTAAATAGACGAGGCCACGAAATCGTGTCGGTCACTACACATCCGATGAAGAATTCTTCGTTAACAAATTACACGGAAATCGATTTATATAATTTGCGCAATGTAATCGCAGCTAAATACCATGAATGGGGAAATGTGACAACATTGATCATGAACTTGCCGTATCTATACCAAGAACGAATTTTATGGGAAGCGGCTAACTTCATGAATTACGAGCTTTTCGTACATCCGGAGATCAAGAAGTTGTATGCAGCTAACAGCAACGAACAATTCGACGCGGTTATAATAGAGCAAGGTGTCAACCCGTCACTGAACGCCTTCGCATATAGGTTTAAGGCGCCTCTCATAGGTAAGAAGAACGCTAGATTCGGAAGAGAGTTAAATTAAAACGATACACACGCGCGACTAGTCCAAAGTGTGATCATCGCTTTATCCGTACGATCGATAAGTTAACGAAAACTAACGTGACACGCAGGTATCTCGAGTTTAGACGTGTACAATCAAGTGCGCTACATGATGGGAGGCCTTGTTCTACCTTCGCATCGTTCCTCTTGGCAAACCAACATGCAAGGTAACATCGAAAGTAACATGTCGTTCTGGGATAGACTCGTCAACTTTTGTGAGGTGTGGTATCAAATATATAATTGGATGAACGTGCGCATCCCCTTGGAGGATGCTCTTGTGAGGAAGTACTTGGGGGAGGGCATACCGTCCGTCGCAGACCTATCGAGAAACATAAGCTTGTTCCTCGTCAACAGGCACCCGACAATTGCAATTCCTAGGCAGGAACAATCGAACGTCGTGTTTTACCACGGTTTTCACATAAAACGAGTACTGCCCGCTCTGCCAAACGTAGGCGTTATTTTCACGATGATATTTTTATGTGAGAATCGCCCAGATTCCCAAGTCGATGATCGAGTCGATGTCGATGATGATTACTCGGACCGTCCGATTAGACAAAAATTTGCTTGACATTTCGTGCATTTCGGTATCGCGTATTCAATTTGTTCAATTTGATATCTAGAGGATATCACTGGTAGGTGTCTATCGATTGTCTAATGAGTTAGTCAATATCACATTCAAGTCAGGTCGATACATGGATATATCGATTCGACTTAAGGGGACTGGAGGGGCAGATTGTTGATAAATCGTGCTTGTTCTTGATAATTTTGTGACGAACTGAATAAATGTGCAAGAATGAAAATTTTAAATATATTTATACAACATATGAAAAATAGAAAAATTTTGTTTATTAACAAATACTCATATAAATATACGATATATATAGCTGAAATATATTCTCCTTTTTTTTTCAAGTTGTCGTTTTTGCAGTAATATCTCGGCTCTCAGTGATCAGAGCGAATTTTAGCTAGAAATCTTGAAGAGGCTTATTATCATTATCCTGTAAACCACTATAAAAAAAAAATTATACAAAATTAACAAAATGGTAGCTATTGTTAGGAAAAAATTCAAGTTTTTCAGTTCTTCATAATACAAAAATTAATATCTCGAAATGAAATATTTTGACGGAGTTGTCCTGATAGTTCACCTGAGAGCCAGATGAATAAATGTTATTGCTTTAAAATTTCAAATCGATACGAAGCTCAGTTTCGGAAAAATCACTGTAAGAAGTTGAACAATAAAATTTCGAGAAAAACGTGTTTAAAATTTAAGTGGACGTATATTTATATGAATATTTGTTAATAAACAAAATTTTTCTACTCTTTATATGTTATATAAATATATGTAAAATTTTCATTCTTGCACATTTATTCAGTTTGTCACAAAATATTATCAAAAACAAGCAGGATTTTTCAGTATTCTGACCCTCCAGCCCCCTTAAGTACACAGTCTGTCCCAGATCCAATGAGACTGGTCTAAAAAAAATACAAAGCGTTTATTATTTTGATTTTTTATTCTTGTTTATTCAAAATAGTCTCCTTCTGAGTCAATACAACGCTGGAAACGTTCAACAAATTTTTCGAAACATTTTTTATACTCATCGGCTGGAATGGCCTTTAGTGTGGCGGTCGAAGTCTTTTGGATGACCGGGATGGTATCGAAACGATTTCCTTTCATCGCCAATTTCAGTTTGGGAAATAGCCAGAAGTCGCACGGAGCCAAATCAGGTGAATACTGTGGATGATCGATAACAATGATGCCTTTTTGGTCAAGAATTCACGTACCATGATGGCTTTGTGCGATGGTGCATTATCGTGCAACAAAAATCAACTGCCTGGCTCTCGATATTCCGGTCGAACTCGTCGAATTCTGGCCCGCAATCGCTGTAGAACTCCCAGATAATATTTGGGCAGACACACAGCGGTCGCTTCGAAGAATTTCTTCGAAGAATTTCTCGATGTTTTCTTTATTGCGAGTGGTTTTTGGCGGCGGTGCTCGGTCATCGTCTGCAAGGTCCTCACGACCGTCACGGAATCGGCCAAACCAACGGAAAACCTGTGCACGGGACATGCATTCATCCCCGTACACATTTTTTAGCGTTTCGTACGTTTCTGCACCACTTTTATCCAAAGTTGGTTTTTCGACCGACGTACACAAAGTGACTTTACATAAAGTTTTTAGACTTTACACAAAGCGACTTTACATAAAATGTCAAACCACAGTGAAATATCAACCGAATTCGTTCAAATTTTGAGGTTAAGTAGATGAAGGATAGAACATTCACCTACCATTATTCACTCATAGATATCGCTGCGCTAAGAACTTTGATGGAACCAGTCTCATCGTATCTGGGACATACAGACAGTGTATGATATAACGACTAGATCGATATCCATGTAATATTTTCCAGACACGTGACGAAATCTTACAAATATTAAATCGATCGTTAATTTAATCGATCGTTAATTTCCACGCGGCCTCAACTTGTTTCCGATCAGACTTTATCGATCGACTTATCGACTTGTGAACTCGGACGCTGTTGTATAAATTTCTAACGACGTATTCTTAACCGTTAATCTCATTGTACTCGATAGGAGTTGAAACAATACCTCGACAACGCGAAGAACGGTTTCATTTACGTCAGCTTGGGAACTAATGTCGTGTGGAAGGAACTACCGCCAAACATATTCAACTCCTTCGTCGAAGCGCTCGCCTCGCTACCGTGGAAGGTTCTGTGGAAAAATAATCCCGACATAATGCCCAGGAAATTTGAAAACATACTCGTGTCGAAGTGGTTCCCCCAACAAAGCATCCTCGGTAATGGCGCGCGATTGCGCACGATACTTTGCAACCTTTTTCCTCATTACTAACAGACTCCTGTAACTCGTGCTAATTTTCTCATCCGCAGCTCACCCGAACATCAAGCTGTTTATTTACCAAGGCGGTCTTCAGAGCACCGAAGAAACCATTTACCACGGAGTTCCGATTATAGGATTTCCCGTGATATGGGATCAGAAACATCAAGTGCGACATATCGTAAAACTAGGTATAGGCTTACAATGCCAGATTACAAATATCTCGAAAGAGGATATCGTAGCCGCTGTGCACGAAGTCATAAGCAACAAGAGGTACTGTATTCAAATGCCCCATCTTCTCCCTGTGCTATTGCTTTTCGATTCCTTGACGATTATGTGTCGTCAATATGGCGACATTACATATG